ATGCATTTGATTGTTATCAATAGTAAATTTTTTTTCACAAATGAGATAAGATACAGGTAGTACAGATAGCTGGTACTGTGAGGTTAAAATTGATGAACCCTGCTAAGGTAGATACCAGGACCTCTCAATTCAAATTAGGCTCTGATAAGAACAATGTATTAACCACTCCTACAACATGTACAATAAAATTTCAATTTGTTTATTATTGTGTTACATACCTCCAAAGAGTACAACATTGAAGCGTTCAATGTCTGGCATCCCTAACAGTTCCCTGAATGTATTGACTCTTTGCATGATTGAATGATATAAACTATCCTGCAGAGATCCAAACAATGCATCAGTAATGTCACACCATGCAGAGTGGCACAATGTGTATGTAAAATATTTTGCTTTGCAGTCAATTTACTATCACAATATGACCATCAAATAAAAAAATTCAATTTTCACTACTTCCACAGTATTTGTGATCACGTCCATTTTTCATGTTATCTCTCATTGATCAAAACTCAGTTGCAACCCTGATAGTTCGGGGTAAAATTCATTTAAAAAGTGGGTTAAATCTTGCAAACTGGAAAAAAAAAATCTATCTATGTAGCTCAAAATTTCCAAATGTATTCATAACATTTTAGCTAATTCCATGCTAAGATTTTTGAGCCAAGTTTGGACAAGGCTTATAATTTAATATTATAATATAATTTATTAATTGTTATATTGTGCAAATTAACATTAGGATATGATCAAATGTGCATTACAATGTTTTGCAGGGAACTTAACAGACTGCTTGCAGCAGTTTACAATTCTCTGTGATGTCATTTTAATAGATGCCCCCAGTTTCAGTATATAGGCCAGACCACAACACCGGGAGTGTGTGGGTTCTTTAAATAACATCCCCTGCTAACAAGTACAAAGAAGATGCAGGAGACTGGGCCTGCGGTTTTTCGTCCTTATCTGAGAAGACTAGAATGTCTATCCATTTCTTGATATTATAGAAAGGTAGCACATTCTCTTCAGTTATTTTAAGACCATGAGTATTGGTCCGGTCTGGGGCTCGAAACCTCGACCTCCCACATGGCAGTCAGGCACTCTACCACTTGAGCTAACCAGACAGCTTGATTCCATTCTGCAAATTACCTCACAGTCAAGAGTCTTGAAAAAATTTGTCTTTTAAAGTAGTTTAAATTGACACGAGTCGTAAAAGAGATGCTAAATTTCCTTTTATCAAAAACTTTGTCCCTTAATTAACAAACTTCGAAATCAAAAGCAATTACTCTTAGAATAAAATGATACAGTTACCTACACAAAATTGCAAAGAGGGCTCTGTTCATCACAAATAAAGCGCTAACTTTAAAAAGTAAACTTAAAAAATAGATAGAAGAAAAAAAACATTTTTCAACAAAGTTAGACAGTTATTAAAGGTCTGCTCTTTTTCTCCATTTCCATTTCTTTTGAACGTCACTCAAAAAGATGACATTATTATTACTAAAACAAAGGAGAACTTGGTTCACCAATATCAAGCAACTTTTATTGTCATGAACGCTTTTTCCTCTTTCGTTGTCGTAGTAAAGTGTAAGTTTTGAATAAATTATCAATTGTGTTTATTTCAAAACAAACGGGAAAAAATGACACCTAAAACTCTGAAAGTTCTGGATAACAGTCACAAAAAAAAAATCATGTTAAATCAAGCGACTTGGAAAAAAAAAATTGCCTGAATCGTAAAATTTCCCTTCTATATCATATCTCCAAGTATTTCCACGTAGAAATGAAGTTATAAAAGAGGAACTCGACCAGAACTCAATAAAGATCTAACGTGTAAAATGTGAATCCGTCAAACAGTACCTGCTTGTTATTTGCGTAGAACTCCAGTAAGGATGGGAACAGTGGTAGAATCACTGTAAAAGCGAGGAGGTCGACGAGAAGGGAAAAGAAAACGATCCATACTGTTCGATCAGTTGACAAAACTTTAGTGTTTTCGGCTTCGTGCTTCTCTTTATCAGCTTTCCTCTCTGGCAAGTTTGAAGCCCTGTTTTTGAGCGTGTTCGTCTCCATATATAGCGTGCTCTCTAGCCTCGAAGAGAGAAAAGTTTTGTGTCACAAGTTAGCGCTTCGTTGGCATTGAGTAGGAAATGTATGTCCCCTGGTGTAATTTAAGTTTAAATATTGTTTTCAGTGTCTCGAAGTCACGAAAGACTGACGTCAATCTTTGCTCAATTGATGATACGGTCACAGTTTCCGCCGCAAAGGAGCTGTTACATATTCATAGGCAATATCAAGTAGTGACTTAGGTTTCCAAAAAAGACTGTTGAACCTTTCCTAATCGACAAATAGCAACCTCTAAAAGGCCATGCGAAAGAAAACTACTTTGGCCGTCGACATAAGCAGCGGGTACAAAACCGATCAGGTTATGTTTGCATTCTGCAAAGAAAAAGAGCTCCGATTTCGTCCGACCAATTCCGAACTTTGTACGAGCACTTTAAAAAAAAACCCCTTGTTTCAGTACTTTCTATCAAAAAAATATTCGATTAAAGCTTTGACCGATCGCATGAGAGCACAGCATTTATCAATGAATTAGAGAAAAAGATGACGGCAAATTCTTAAAGTTAATTGAGGTTATCGGGAAACTCGGAGGCCTTTGTGGGAGGTATGATCCCATGAGGCCAACCGGCGCGAAAAGGAAACGGAAGGCAGACTCAGTCACCTAGTACACACACTGTGTCCAATGGTGGAGACAAAAATACTAGATATGGCCAGAAATACTTGAATATGGGGGAACATCTAGTGCCTGTGTTGTTTATAACAGCAAATGTTGGTTCAGTGTTCGAAAATGTGAGTTATATTCCAGACACTACTGATGTTATTTGTTTTTCTTAAGATCCTTGATGTTGTCGATGTCCTGCGCGCCTTCGATGTGCTTTGATTCACGAAGATTCACTTCGCCATTTACTTTACCAATGCTCCAAAATTTTAGATGAGCTTTTTTTCATTGCAAACTCATAATTAGATATAAAAGGTTCATTTTGTTTTGTTTTAGGGACCAACTTGTTGACAAAAGAAGGCTCTCGACTTTATTCCCATGTTGGCAATTATCAACAACTTGTCCTGATAATTTTCTTGTTTCCTTTGTAGCGAGATGGACTGGAAGAACGCTGGATTCGAGAAACAGTTACTGTAAGTAGGTTATTAGAGGTCTGTGAACAATTGTGAAAGGTCGAGTTGATTTTTTTTTCTTCTACTTGCATGAAATATGGTAAATCCACTTGGCGAAATTCTTGTACGGTGGTATTATTGATGTGCTGCTATCTTTTTGGGATTCTTATTGGCAGACAATAACAAGATTCAAGCCAAAGTTTGTAGCACTTCATTTTCAAGAAAGTGGAGGAAAAGATTCTGGAGAAGAATCCTTAGAAAAAGTGAAGGAATTTGTCCGGTGAGAATTAATCACATGATGGATGCCCTCCCCTCAAATTTCTGTTTAGTACGAAAATTTGTAGTAGGTATTAATTAGTAGGACTCCGAAAGCGAATTTTAATCAAATCATTTTTGTTATTTCTTTCAGAATCTTCATCGATCAATCGCTGATAAAAGAAAAATTCGACAAAGTGCGAGCATGGTTCGATCAAGATTATCGTTCAAAGGAGCGATATACGGTGAGCATTATTGAAGGTCAAAAGAAATCATTGGTTCTGTTCGGTTGGTTTCGTTGAAATTAATACCAATCATGAGGATGAAAGGTATTTAATTCCCATTCTTATGGAAACAGGTTGTATTGAGTTGTGAATTTTTGGCAGGTAACCAAAATGAAAGTCAGCGTAGTGCTTCAGGCATGTGTGCTCTTTGTCAGTTTTTGTTTTGGTTTCTTTACCTGAAGAATAATTGATGTGTAAAGTAATTAATTAGATGTCCACCATAATTTATTGTTTCTTCTCAAACTAGTAGACTTTGAAGTGGTATGGGGCATCAGTGACTGCTCTTTTCGTGAAAAAGAAGAAAAACATGAAGGAGCTTGTAATAACAATTTTATCAGCCCTCAGAAAGGGCTGTTCATTGAGGGTTTGTGTACATAGAGCTGAAGCCCATATTATTTTGAATTTAATTATGTTTGAATTTAATCTGTGATAACTGCAGTACTATTTTATACCTCCTATTTTGCATTGAAAACATTTCAACGTAAACAGCATTAACCTTAAAAAGAGAGAGAGAGAGAAGGAAGGATCATACACATTATTTTTTTTAAAAATTCTTTAAAGTAATTCCTGAATGAGTAGAAGGAAATGAGTTTTAAAAGGGGGAGACTCGGGTTTGCAGTGTTGCTGTTTTTTCTAATGTAGTTTTGTGGTAAAGAACTACGCACATGGCGGTGTTGCAGTGATCTCAAACCTTACAGCGTGCTATGTTTGTAATTTCAAACCAATGGTGTTTGGTGAAATAAACCATTTCAGTGTCGCATTTTGTTCTTTAACCCTTCTAAAAACTAGATTTAGTTGATCTGTGATTAATTGTTGTACAAAAATTAATAAGCACCAAGGTCATCTATAGCAAACAGCTGATTGACCCTAAGCCGTGTTCATTTATGTTTTACTTGACCTCTGGACATCTACCACATGCACTATTGGTCAGGCAAAGACCAGTTCGTGGTATAGATGATTGAAACCAGACCAGGTAAATCCTGAGACTTGTCTCGGTGTCGGTGTGTTGATAATATTTCTTGCGGTGAGGGGGTGTTTGTTCAATTTTATTTGCGGTGTTATAGTATTCAGAACCCCCCATGTCCCCCCTCTTTTAAGGATACAGATGTACAAATAGCACGTTGCATCATTTCAAATTAACCATCTTGGAATGACTATGTAAATAATACTTTCACCTAACTCTAAGCACTTAATTAGAAAAACTATGTTGGAAGCTGGAAACAGTTACAACTAAGGCATGACATCTATTGTGTTGGTAGAAGATGTCTATATTTATTCCTTAGGAAGTTCAAAAGCAAAAATTTTTAGACCAGTTGTGGACATAAAAAATCATGTATATGATATGAGATGTCCAAAATCAACACCAACTTACCAGCTAAAAGCTGTTTATGCACATGTATGACATTCTTCATATTATTTGGAAATATTTCTTTTATTTGCTGTATATTGGGTGTGAATGCCTCTCAGATAATTTACAGACATGTGACATTGTCCATAGCTTTGGTTTTGCAGGATTTGTTAGAATGGTTTGTCATTGCAAGACTTGTTAACAATGTTGTGTTGTGTTTTCAACAGGCACTTGGCTGTGTATATCTGGTAAGCAAGTCTTTAGAGGATGTGTTACTCTGGAATTTCAAAGGTAAATTTTTTTTATTAATAGGGATATGATCCATTTAATTTGAAATAACTACTGAGCTCAAAGTTGAGCTAGTTGCACCCACCATACAATGTTGAGGATTCCATGGTTTTTTTTTTTAAGGTTACTTCCCACCTTCAGAGGCTGAAAAAATCATTTTTTCTTTTATTGGACCAGAGTGATGTTAGATATTTTACCTAATGTTTACGAAAAGAAATATTTAAAAATCTCAAAAGGCATCCAACTTATTTAGGAAAAATTAATGTGTTTTCAAATAGAAGTTAATAAATCAGGAAGGTGTCATAATCTCATAAATGGGCGAATCCCTAGGGGAATATTCGCGGCAGTTTCATGTTATTTGCATAAATTGTTTAACGCACACTTGACAAAATTCACACATGGAAGTTCTCTGCTAGAGGAAAGTATTTTTCTCATGGATAAAAAACCTAATCAAAATTAGAGAGGAGTCCTTGGGCAAAGAATAGGCAAAAACAGGCCCAAAGATGAGAGAAATGGCACCATTTTGTCAGAAAAAACAGTCGTGGCACTCCTCTCCATGCTGGCATCCAAATTAGGAACAAAGAAGGTGCCATCATATCTATATTTGTTGTACATACGGTTAAAAACCAAGTTTTCTTTCAATAAGCAAGTAGGCAATCACCTCAAATGGTATGAAATCATGAATAAACCTTCCGGAGGGAAATCATTTCGGCAATAAGGGTACTCCTTAAGCTGTCTGTCAATTCACTGTTTTGCTTTTCAGCAGCTTCCTCAGCTTTACCTTTTTTGCTGCAGGTTTTTGCTAGATACTAACTTTGTCCAGGGACAATGACGAACGAAAGTGTGTCAGGGAATATCGATATTTGAAATATTTTTCACATGGTGTCCCTTTAAGCAGCACATTTCACATATTTTATGCTGCTCCAACTTTAAATGAAGATATTTAGACAACCAATCAGAATATTGGAAAAGCCTGACACACTTTTGTTGATTGATGCCTTGTGAATAAGACTGTACAGCCATTTTGCTCATGCTGCGGGGTCTGATACCCAATTTATTCAATAGAAGGACCCTTGGTCGTTTCATGCCTTACCAGCTCCTGACACTACCTAAATGAAGAAAAAAAGAAAAACACCAAAATTATATTTTTATTTTAAACTGCATTTATTAAGCTTTATTTTGATGTATAGTTTGTTAGGGTTTTCTTGAAACTAGCACGTGTACAAATTTTTTCCCAAATGACACCTGCGAAGGCGGGAAGTAACCTAAGGTACAGATATCATTTCCCTCTAACATTGCTAATAGTTGCATGTGATACAAAATTTTGTTTGCTTTAATTTCTTACTTTCCAAGTAAAATTTAAAATTTGAAATCATTGCATAGGATAAATGGATAAATTGGACCGTGAATGCCAGTTACCTGGTCACACAAGTCATGTATAGTCTCAGTGTATTATTCTTAAACAGCTCCTACTCTGGTTACAATAACACAAAAAAAAAAAATAGCAGGGGTCTCAAGAATATCCTTTGTGAAGCTCCTTTTTGTTAAAAAAAATTGCAGGTAAAATTGAAGAACAGCTCCCCAAAATATCTGTGGGCCAACTGTCAGCCAACTGTGTTTCATTGGACTGTTGGCAAATGAAACACAGAAAACACAACAGAAACACAATGAAAACATGGGCTTGTGCAATTTTGTGAGTCTTTGTTTGAAAAAAATTTAGTCATATTGCTAAATCTAAGTAACTAAACTCTTCCAATTTCAGCAGAACGAAATGTGTCAGTCAGATACTACACATCAAGTTCACATAAATGAAGATCAATATGGCCAATAATGCCTTGTACTTGAAATTTACCTCTATCACACTCAAAGTTTACCTGTATTGCGTGGTGTTCGTCAAAATTCATTTTGAGGTAATTGTGAAAGTTCAAACTTACCAAGATGACAGTCTATTTACTCGTTTCTGAATCTGTTTTCATTATGTTGGTGAACAGTCGGCCAATAGTTGGCCAACAGATATTTTGGGGTGCTGATCTTCTTCAATTTTACCAAATTGCATCGAGATGAAAGAAAACTGAGAGAATGGATACTAAAGCCAGGTTGTTGGGCGAGATTTATTTAATTAAGCTGTCTTTAGTTGTGTTAAGAATGGGTTAATTTTGAACTCTGTTAATGTGGTGATTGTCATGGTAATATGCACTTTTTAACCATCAAATCAAACCTACATAGTTTTCTAGGTAATACTTCTCCTTTTAGGGAAACTGAATATGTAAAGGATTGAAGAAGAACTTCTTATTGAAAGTAATTTGATCTTACAGAGCTACTTATGGTAGTTTCAATATCACAATTATCTTGTCAGGTAGTGACAGAAGTAAATTTTACACTTGCAGACAATTCGTTTGGTTTAGAAAACTTAACTCTGTTGTTTTCATTTCTTGTTTTTGCACTTTTAAAATCTGAAGAATCTGCATTCTCCAAGGTTGAGGGAGAAGAAGTGAGTGAGTTAACATTGTTGCATAAAATTTATTCACCAAAAGGTTTACTAGCATTTGCACATGAAATTTTTAGACCTGCATGTACAGGCTAAGATTTGGAAGTCAGTTTTCCAAAATATATATATTGATATATTTTGATGTACCATGTTTTGCTCAAAAGACATGTACAAGAAATCAATAAGGGTATACTACCAGTTTTAGTAATTGTATAGTAGACAGACTTATTTGTTACTTCTATTCAAATTTCATGAGCAATTGTAAACAGAGATGGTGACATGAACAAGTCGCGTAGAACATGAACAGATGTAACCTCAGTTCAGTATCAACAAGCTCTATTACTAATACACTATACACTTAATACGCTACAAACTGTACAAATACACTATACACTTAATACGCTACAAACTGTACAAATACACTATACACTTAATACGCTACAAACTGTACAAATACACTATACACTTAATACGCTACAAACTGTACAAATACACTATACACTTAATACGCTACAAACTGTACAAATACACTATACACTTAATACGCTACAAACTGTACAAATACACTATACACTTAATACGCTACAAACTGTACAAATACACTATACACTTAATACGCTACAAACTGTACAAATACACTATACACTTAATACGCTACAAACTGTACAAATACACTATACACTTAATACGCTACAAACTGTACAAATACACTATACACTTAATACGCTACAAACTGTACAAATACACTATACACTTAATACGCTACAAACTGTACAAATACACTATACACTTAATACGCTACAAACTGTACAAATACACTATACACTTAATACGCTACAAACTGTACAAATACACTATACACTTAATACGCTACAAACTGTACAAATACACTATACACTTAATACGCTACAAACTGTACAAATACACTATACACTTAATACGCTACAAACTGTACAAATACACTATACACTTAATACGCTACAAACTGTACAAATACACTATACACTTAATACGCTACAAACTGTACAAATACACTATACACTTAATACGCTACAAACTGTACTAATACACTATACACTTAATATGCTACAAACTGTACAAATACACTATACACTTAATACGCTACAAACTGTACAAATACACTATACACTTAATATGCTACAAACTGTAC